CAGGTAGACAGGTTGGGCTGGCAGTACTTTACATAGACAAGAGATACAGACCATAGTCCCTGTAATCAGTGCACTGGCTGTTACTTTGTGTTGATTTGTTTAACAGGCTTCTTCCTTATGGTGATGAACAGGCTACGTCAATAGAAACATTTAGGCTGTCATTGATAATGCTCATTATTTTTTAATCGCCAAGCTTATACATTTTATTAGTAGCATTTCATATATACAGTATATTTACTGTTTGAAATGGTATTCACATATTGTTTCATGGTGGGTTCTAAATGAGTGATTTCGGCCTGGATTGTTTTAATATGTGTTATATGCAAACTTTAGGATGGTTTTAGTTTGTAGAATTTTTGTACTTTTAATAAAAGTAATATAATAAAAGTAGAGTGGTAAGAAGTGGGTAGAAAAGGCAAGCTTAGGAGGCCAAGGTAGAAAAGACAATATTTCAAGTGTAATTAGATTTCCCATTTGTCCCATTTGTTTACATGGAGAAGGCAAGGTTTAAGACCTATACTGCAGCCAGAAATGTTTTGGCTTTCCTCTTTACTTTTCAGGAAGTCTATAGCACACTCAGACCCAGAACTGGATTTGCATCAGTTGTGCACTGTCAGTGCTGGGTTGTGTCAGGAAGGGCGTCTGGCATAAAACCTGTGCCAAATAATGTGCAGATAATTCTGACGTACTGATGCAAAAGAGAGTTAAAGTCACCATTAAAGCGACAGTTCAACCAAAAATGAAAATTCTGTCAGTAATCACTCACCCTCATGTCGTTCCAAACCCTTAAGACCTTCAAATCATCTTCGGAACACAAATTAAGATATTTTTGATGAAATTCGAGAGCTTTCTGACCCTCCATAGACAGCAACACAACTGACACGTTCAAGGCCCAGAAAGGTATAGAGACATCGATAAAATAGTCCATGTGACATCAGCGGTTCAACCGTAATGTTATGAAGCTGAATGATGGCACGGAAGATGACATGGATAATTTTATCGATGCCCTTACCAAGATTCTGGGCCTTGAACATGTTAGTTGCATTGCTGTCTATGTTTGGAATGTCATGAGGGTGAGTAAATGAAAAAAAATTCATTTTTGGGTAAACAATCCTTTAAATTAAAAAATTTAAAAAAAAATTATGGAATATTGGAATGTTTATTATAAATTATTTATCCGTACATGTCACTCATATTTTAAAATTTATGTGCCCACAACAATCCAGTAATCCAATCAATTCCTGATGGATCAAACTTAATCGTACCCTAAATTTTTTCTCATTCGAACCATTTAACACAGATATATGTCACAAAAGGGAAGAAAGGACAATCCCGACTTTAACACAACAACACTGGTCTCCACTTATTGAGACATTGAGAAAATCAGACAAATACAGTAAAATACACAAATGAATGAATGAATACAGACCTGCTACAACCTCTGTGATTGGAGTAGCTCAGCATACTCTATGCATCCTGTCCCAGTGTTCCAGCTCGCACGGATGTATATGACACCACATCAAGTTGTTTGTTGTCCAGGAGGGATGAAAATTGCTGACCCGTACTTCCAGAAGGTGGCAGAGGGATTATTTTGGCTCAGCTCTGTTCTTCAGCTGCTGTTGACACAGAAGCCAAGGCATGAGCTGTGTTCACACAAAACCATACCAAAATCACCACTTAATACTTTATTAAACCCTTTATTTGGACATGATTTGGATACGTGAAATGAAATGGCTGTGTGAATAATTTCACTGCAGAGAGAGAGAGAGAGAGAGAGAGAGAGAGAATATGTGAAATGGAATTATGGAAATCATTCATTTAAAATGTTTATTATTTATTAAAAATGTATTTGCACTGAATCACATAGACAAAACACCAAAATTAAAGCATCAACATAAAACTGTATATTCCATGCAAAGTTGTCATTAATAAAGTTGCTATACATAACTGAGCAGTCGTAGATTTGTCCTGTCATCATGCTGTTTTTAATTTAACTTAAAGGAACACTCCACTATTTTTGAAGATATGCTAATTTTCCAACTCCCCTAGAGTTAAACAGTTGAGTTTTACCGTTTTCGAATCCATTCAGCCAATCTCCGGGTCTGGCGGTAGCACTTTTAGATGTAGCTTAGCATACATCATTGAATCTGATTAGACCGTTAGCATCTCGCTCAAAAATGACCAAAGAGTTTCTATATTTTTCCTATTTAAAACTTGACTCTTCTGTACATCGTGTACTAAGACCGACGGAAAATGAAAAGTTGCGATTTTCTAGGCCGATATGGCTAGGAACTATACTATATAACTATATAATTAAGGAACTTTGCTGCCGTACCATGGGTGCAGCAGGCGTAATGATATTACGCAGCGCCTGAAAATAGTCCCCAGCACGCTCCCTGTGCAAGCAGGTAGTCACGTTGGTTATGTTGGAGGAAGTTAGCCTATTTTCAGGCGCTGCATAATATCATTGCGCCTGCTGGACCCATGGTACGGCAGCAAAGTTCCTTGATTATTACGCCGGAATGAGAGTATAGTTCCTAGCCATATCGGCCTAGAAAATCGCAACTTTTCATTTTCCGTCGGTCTTAGTACACGATGTAACTACAGAAGAGTCAAGTTTTAAATAGGAAAAATATAGAAACTCTTTGGTCATTTTTGAGCGAGATGCTAACGGTCTAATCAGATTCAATGATCTATGCTAAGCTACAGCTAAAAGTGCTACCGCCAGACCCGGAGATCGGCTGAACGGATTCGAAAACGTTAAAACTCAACTGTTTAACTCTAGGGGAGTTGGAAAATGAGCCTATTTTCAAAAATAGTGGAGTGTTCCTTTAAGACTCTCATTTCCACTTCATAATCCATTTAGCAAAAAAGCAACGAGGATTGAAAGGTCATCACAGAGGTCATGCACAGGCACTATAAGGTGCTAATGTTGCACAGTATAATTGAGCTTAAGAGCTTGACTACCTTTACTGACTAGCAAAAAGCAGTTTTGAGAACAGTCATTAATGTCAGTGTTCAGCAGCATTATGCTGCTATAATTCTAAACAGTTCTGTTGAGTTAGCACAAAAACAACACACCGGCAGAAATCAATGTAATGGGCTGCCAAATATGGCAGTAAAGGCATTAATGAATTATGTGAACAACAGTTTAACCGAATGCATAATTTTCTGTCAAATATGCAAAGTATAGGGGTTCAGTATGTCGTTTATAATTAAGTATAAATCTCATAACAACAAAAAGCAAACAGCAAAACAACAGAAAGGCTTTGAAAGCATCTAAAGCTTTTGAGTATGTCACTGATTTGTATTGAATAAACGTTATACTTGAATGAATGGCGTGAACAGATGTCTCCTTAGAAAAAGGCTTAACAGAACATTTAATTAAGGCAGACATATTGAATAATATTTTATTTTTAAATGTAATGCTTGCAGAAATTGAAAGCAAGTGGTGGCAAATTACTTACAGAGGAACAGATGGAATATGCCATCGGAGGATCACAATGCCGGGTAAATTGATTAGCTTTATTTTAAATAGAGATGAGGGTTATATGCACCACAACAGTTAGACAGATCGATGGATGTCTTTGTATATTGCTCTGGTCATGTTTATAATTTTGGAGTATGTTGAGGAATTGATTGGTTTTCAATAGAACAAAGCTCTTATTATTAATAAATCACACATGTGATCTATTTAAACTCTCACCCTCATTTTTATGGTTTATTGACTTTCACCCTTTTAAAATAAAATTTTAAATATAATTTGTGTTCTTACTCACAAATGCTTCATGCAGGTGCACATGAGCATGTATAATGTGATATTTGGTTGTACAGTCAATTGATAATGGGAATGACTGACTGTTAGTTGCTAGGTTACTGTTCCATTCTCTAATTGGCCACTTTGATTGAAATTCCATTAAAAATAAAAGGAGCTCTTCTGTTGCTGCCTCCCAATATTTTGTTTGGGACTGTGTTGATTTGCAGGGACTGAAAAGGCTCATAAAAACATGCTGTTATGCTGTTTCTCCTCTCTCTCTTCTTCATCTCTTTTTTCACTTTTTAAACAAACGGTATTACAGGAGCCCGTAGTTCTAGCGTGATAGGCTACGCCTCATGATTTGGATTTCACTGAATGCTTGCTGGGACACAACTGTCATCTGTGACGATGCACAAACATACACTGTCAAATGTATCTTTTAAGTGCATGGTTGCTGTTCAAGAAAGTGCTGGCAAATTCTGCTGCCTTCATTATAGTGACAAACTGGTAAATAATGCAGAAACTGGCAGCTATTTGGGTGATTTCGTGTCTCTAAAGTTGGCTAGCCTAGGACAGTCATGTTAGTCCTTTGAAACATAAAGTTTGGTCTCCCTCTAGTGGTACTTCGCATTTCTGCTTATATTTAATTTGCCAGTTTGATCTTTGATCTAGCTTGTCTTTAACCGTCGAACTTTGTCTTTGACAATTCAACGACCTAATAATTCAAACCATTAGTCTTTTCTCAATCCATTGTTAAAATACAGCATTCGATTTAGTCTCGGACATCGTAACATTATGTTTAAACGCAGATTCATACTGAATCGTAAACAACGGGAAATCACATTTTGTGGGAAAATGGACGAAGAGAAAAAAATTGCCCCGAAACAGTTGAAAATGGAGCTGAATTGAAAGAAGTCTGATCTTTCACCTAAGGCTGTACTTTGTTTGAATCATTCACCTGTGATTTTTTTGCGATGCGAGGTCCGACTTACAGAACTGTCCGTTTACGAGAACCGGTTCACAACAGTTCAGTCAAGATTTTACGTCAATTATGTGCTAAGATCATAATAAAAACATAAATCAATTTCTAGACTATTTTTAAACTTATATATACATACATTAAACCATACTAAATTTTATATTATTTGGCCATTAAAATAACCTGTTTTTCGCCCCGGCAGTCAAATCCTCGGTTCACTCTAGTTATCTGCTAACAGCACTAAGTTAACATTATTTCTCTGGTCATTACGAAATAACTTCCGGTCAGCTGATAGTGTGTCATCGGTGTTTGCAAACAAATCTACTGTGGCTTCATGCTTGCACCGTCCACTGACACCACACACCGCCGCGGTCATGGGAGAGAATGATGAAAGAGAAATAATCGAGCACCACGATGACGAGGAGATGGAGAAGATGCGGACGCCGAGGAATCATTCGCAATCCTTTCTGGAGAGCGTCGCGTCGTCGGAGAAGGACGGATACAGTAGCACGCAGTCATCACACCGCCTGCTCGCCTACAGCGATGCGCTCATCTCCATCATCGCCACTGTAATGGTGAGGAAACCCACAGAAATATAGCCTTTAGACAAAAGGCATGGGACATTTTACTGCTTTGAATGCACTCTTCAACTGACGTCCGCTTGTATATGACAAACCGCTATGAATCACCTGTTCTTCACACAAAGCCTGGGTTTATGAAATATATACTGTATGATTGTTTTTTTAAAGCGTGTCACGATTTTCTTGTGTTCACAGATATTGCCTGTTGCGCATACAAAATTTCAGGATAATGAGGTGAAAAGTTACATTATGCCACCCTTCCAGGAATAGTTCACCCCAAAATGAAAATTTAGTCCTTATACACACACTCATTTTAAGCTATACCCATGAGATTTCCACAGAAGGCAGACAAACACAAAATAAAGTACAATGTATTTTCTGTTGTCTATGTTTGTGTCCCAGAAGAAAGAAAGTCATACTGGTTTAGTTAGAGCAGTGGTTCTCAACTAGGGAGCCTGGACCCGGGACCCACTAGGGGGCCTCAGCACACTTCCAAGTGGCAGCAGGACAACTCAAACAATTAATCGCGATTAATCGCATCCAAAATAAAAGTTTTTGTTTACATAATATATGTATGCGTGCTATGTATATTTATTATGTATATATAAATACACACGCATGCATGTATATATTTCAGAAAAATATGTTATGATATGAAATATATTTATTTATAATATAAATTATATGAATATAAATAGACATGTAAATATTTTCAAAATATATACTGTATGTGTGTGTATTTATATATACATAATAAATATACACAGAACACACATATATTATGCAAAGAAAAACTTTTATTTTGTATGCGATTAATCATGATTAATCGTTTGACAGCACTAATTTAAATATATTGCCACTACTGCTTTATGTAATTGAAGTTTTAAAATGAGTAGTCATTATAGCAGATGTTTCAGAAATACCTTGAGCGCTTTAAAATATTGGGGTCCTTGTTTGAGCACCACTGGTTTATGTAAACATGAAGGTATGAAAATCATTTTTGGGTGAATTGTTCCTTTAAGACATACAATTTAAACACACGTTTATTGTCTTTTTATCTCCTAACTGATCTCTCTATATTCAGGAACTGAAACAGAGTATTCAGGCTTTGCTCACCACCAAGGTTGCTGTCTACTTGATGACTTTTTTGATTGTCACTGTTGCTTGGGCTGCACATATCCGGTGAGAGCCCTCAAGCACTGCACTCTATCAAGTAGTAACTTCATAGAACTGCTGTTTTCATTCATTTGCATAAAGATTTCATTAAGCATTTGGTTTTAGGTTGTTTCAAGTCATTGAGCGAATTGACGACACTCTTGCACTGCTTAACCTGGTGAGAACACCAACAAAAGTATTCCTCCTAATGAATGTAAAGTAGCTGTATATTCATTTTTAAAGTGTGTGGTGACAATTCTATTCTATTTCAGGCATGTATGATGCTTATAACCTTTCTACCATACACAGTGAGTCATTCTACTGATGTTTTGAAAGATTGCATAGTTTAGGGTGACCATACGTGCCATTTTCCCAGGACGCGTCCTGGCCAGGATTTGTTTTGGCTTTGTTTTCATGCTTGCTGAAGGTAATGATCGAAAAGTAGTTTGACCAATAACATGCAAGCATTGTACATAATGGACCAATCATGGCGTGTGAGAAGGTGGGATCTACGGTCAAAGCGATGCAATTACGCGTACATATTAGGTGTGTTCGACTTAAAAGCAGTGCGGCTCAGACCGATCAGTGTTTGACATCAAAGTACCTCGAGAGCGTTTCGAAAGCATAACCGTCTGTATGGTACTTTGATGTCATACACCGATCGGTCTGCACACGCAAACAAAGCCAAAACCTAGATATTTTAGGCAATATAGAAATCCTGGCCAGGACGCGTCCTGGGAAAATGGCACGTATGGTCACCCTAGCATAGTTCAGCACTATTTGACTACTTCCCTTTTGCCTCTTCGTATGTCTTTAAAGGAAATCTCCCTGTTTATGACCATTTTTAATGTTTATTTTTTGTTTGTTTGTCTTCTTTTAGTTCTCTCTCATGGCAACATTCCCTAATAATACCCTCGGCGTCCTCCTCTTCTGTGCTTGTGTCATGGTGATTGGTTTAATTCAGGTGAGAACGCTTGCATGTGCTGAATAACATAACCAGCAGAAGATGCTTTGAGTTTTGTTTGACAGTCATATGTTTTTGTGTCTTTAGGCCTTGATTGTCTTGTATGGATTCAGCCGTCCTTTCCTTCTCAATGATCAGATCCAAATGTCTGAGAATCAGGCTTATTATAAGAGACGGATACTTGAAGTCATCATGAGGGTTCCTATCATGTGCCTGTTTGCCAGCGTCTTTTCAGCCATCTTTATCCAAGTGGTACGGGATTTGAGCTTAAACCATTTATTAGTACAAACTATGGCAGCCGATTACAGTGTTTATATAAATCTAACAAATGTATTTACTGTTAAAATTATACAGTTTATTTTATTATGTAAAAACAAAATGTTTAGTTGGTGCCGATAGCCTTGTGGGCAGCGCGCCGACATACAGCGTCCGAATCCTGACTCGAGGACTTTTCCCGACCCCTCTCTCTCCCTCTTCACTTTCTGTCAGCTCTGATCTGTCCTATCATAAATAAAACTTAAAACAAAAACAAATTTTAAATCACACATAATAACATTTATAATATTTTATATTATAATATTTTAATTAATAATATTTATTTATATATTTTTCCTCTGGCAGTCCTACATTATTTTGGCTATTGTCATATTCCTGCCATACATCGCTCAGTGTTTAAAATGGATCCGGAGTAAAGCCATCGGTGGTAAGAGCAAAATCTCACAACACTGTACTCTGTTATTCTTATATTGCATACATATTTTATCATTGTACATACACTGCTGTTCAAAAGTTTGGGGTTTGGTGGGATTTTTTAAAATGTTTTTGAAAGAAGTCACTTATGTTCACCAGGCTGCATTAATTTGATAAAGATACAGAAAAAATTAAAATATTATGAAATATTATTACAGTTTAAAATATCAGTTTTCATTTTATTTATATATATTATATTATATCATAATTTTATATATATTTATTTTTTATTTATTCTGAATTTAATCAGCCTTTACTTCAGTCATCAGTGTCACATGATACTTCAGAAATAATTCTAAAATGCTGATTGGCTGCTCAAGACACATTTCTTATTATCAATGTTGGAAACAGACGTGCTGCTTAATATTTTTGTGGAAACTGAGATATACATTCTTTAGGATTCTTTGATGAATAGCATTTATTTGAAATGGAAATCATCATTCAATGCATTCTTGCGCAATTTTATTTTATTTTTTTTGAAAATCCCAAACTTTTGAACTGTAGTGTAATTGGAGCAATTGCAATCTGCATTATATCCTTTTTTTTAAATAACCTCAGGTCAGGTGGAAGACAGTCCAGATTCGGTGCCCTTCTACACCTACCATCCCAGTGAACCTTTGAGTAAAGAGCGAGTGGAGGCCTTCAGTGATGGGGTGTATGCAATCGTAGCCACGCTGCTCATCTTAGACATTTGGTTTGTATCCCTCCAAAGCAGTTTGTCATTACTGGATCCAACAGTCCACTAGGTGTTCAAATACTGTGCAATAACAAAGAATTTGCCCAGTGCTTCTCTTTGGCACATCATTTTAAACACCTTGTTAATGTCTTACACAGTGAAGACAACGTGCCTGATCCGTCTGTGGTGAAGAAGGAGTTTGACAACAACCTCGTCGCTGCGCTTCAGGAGTACGGTCCCGAGTACCTGGCCTACTTCGGTTCCTTCACCACCATCGGCCTGCTTTGGTTCGTTCATCACTCTCTCTTCCTGCATGTGACAAAGGCCACGCGCCTCATGGGCCTCTTCAACACGTTCTCCCTGGCCTTCGTTGGCGGCCTGCCGCTCGCCTACCAGCTCACGCATGAATTTCCCAGAGGCTCCCGCAATGAGCTGGAGGCCGTGCAGATCAGCTGCGTCATCATCTTCTTCGCCGGTCTGTTCCAGCTAGCCATGTGGGTAACGGCACTTTTCACGGAACGCGAGACTTTGCACCCGTATGTGCGCTACGGTGGACGAGAGCACGCCTTTATGTTGGCCAAGCTCTCGCTCTACCCCTGCGTGGCCCTCGGGACCTTCGTTTTCACCTGCGTCCTGAGCCGCTTCAGCACGTCCATCTTTCACATGATGGAGATTGGCGTACCGTTTGCTTTTCTTGTACTGAGGCTGCTGGTCCGTGTGGCACTGGTGCTGCTCAGGTGGCTCTTCTGTCCTGCGAGGAACGATTTGGACAGTGTTCCAGTAGAGGAAGAGGACTCACAGCTGCCCATTCATGATATAGTGACTTAGCAGTGAACGGAGAAGAAAACGCCTCAACGTTTAACCTAAAATCAAGGTTAGGCTAGATTCTCGGCGCTTTTGTTTATAATTAATACTGCAGCAGATAGCTTTGCGCTGTAGAAGACGTCCATATCGGTCAAATCTCTCATTTAGTTTAATAGACTGTGGAAGTGATTGATGAGGTCTTCATCATGATGAGTCTTCAGTGTCATAGCAGTGGTCCGAGGAGAGCCCAAGAGCTTTTTTCCTCCTTACAGAAATGCACAAAAATGGTTTTAAGCCTTGGATTTATTAGCATGTTAAAACGATGTCTCAATGTTTTTATGTTTATATTTTACTGTGAATTAAATTACATAGAGGTTTTCACTTCATTCAATCAGTAAGAACTACAAAAGTGTTTTAGGTTATGTTCAGTTATGTGGGTTTTAGTATTACAATTATATTCTTGGTATTTTTTTTATTTTAATTAATTATTTTGCACTTTGTCATTCGTGCTTTTGATCTGTAGCTGCAATTCAGGTCTTTATATTTTCTGTTGGAGGAAATCTTTCATGTAACCGCAGAAATGTCCAAAACCACATGCATTAGGTGAATGCTCTGTCAATGTGTTTGTATAAATCTACTCTTCATTTCACCTGACAATGAAACTAGTGATGCACCTTAGAATAAATAATGTCACTGTTGCACTTACAGTCTGATCTGAATGGAGCATGTAGAGATAATGATAAAATGCATAAGCCATTATAAGAGGTGTTTTGTTTTCGTGGCATTTGAGATTGTTTTGTTAGTATTTCATCTAAATGTTATTACCATACTGACTGTAAGATGTTGTATGTAAAGTGTACTTGTCAAACATTTTAATTTCTTGATTTTTTTATTACCCTCACATTATCAGTCTGTTAGGAGTCTGCTTTGGTTTTGGGAACCACTATAGCTGTGTCAGTCCAAATGTTACCGTTTAACTACAAACAAAGATACACTTTTGATAATAAACTCAAGTGCTGCTTGCAGAAGTACTGCAATTTTGGTGGAAGACTGAAATCATGTAATGAATGTGACCACACTGAGCGGAAGTCAAAAGTGAAGTTTATTCACCAAGTGTAGCATTGCAATAATAACAATAATGATAATAATAATTCTTACTTTTTCCCCCAGTATTGCCCATAACTTATTACTTTCTTTGTCTTCTGGTAAATATTTACTACTGAAAATTTTTATTAAAAAACAAAATCCGAAAATCAAACCGACATAAATACAGGTTCCCATTTTTTAAAACAACAAATAACAAACCATTATGAGCAAGTAATTTGCAATCCATTTTCAGCTAAACTTCTGAACAGTATAAGCTTGCACAATATTATATGTTGGGTAACATAACTTAAATTGTACAGCAGCTCTCAAAAACTAAATTGCTAATACAACTGTGACATCCACAAAATAAGCTATAAACAACTGGAGGTGCATTCTCTTTTTGGTCTGATAGGATTCATATTACTACTATCACAACATTCTCACATGACTGCATCTACTGGACAGCAGATGTGAAGGAAAGGAACATGTAACCTATTGCAGACAGGAATGAATAAGGTAAGGGGTCACACTTGCCTTTTTTTTTTATTTTTTTTTTAGGTTTTACAATACACCCATCGACAAGTCCCGATGTGTAATTAGGGCGAAGGTCACAGGTTATTACAAATCCACTTTTAACTAAAAGCCTAAAAAGTGTGATGATAACCTCTAGTAATGTTACTTTTGTTCATGTAAGTGCCTAAATAAATATCTAATTTGTTCAAGGATTGTTCTCTACTGTAAGATTGTAGCATTTGACAATGTTAATTGCGGTGTGAGATTTAGTTTGTTTTTTCACAGCAAAATTGACAGTGCTTTGGTACACATTTGTTTGGTAAAGAATTCAGTAAGATTTCAACAAATTAAAATAAAAAGCAAGGTTTTTAAAAACAAGAGCAGCTAAAAACAGTATTTCAGGGAGGATACTATAAAAATGAAATATAATTAAAAAAACAAATCTAATAACATGTTTACATATTTTCAAATATTGGATATCTACTCAAAGCACCAGTGTTTTTTGATATTAAATCCTGAAAAGCGAATTGAATCTTTCAACTCATGTAGTTACAGTGCAACTAAAACCAATGGTCACGGAGGGGAACACCGCAAATCATCACCTTCTCAAAAAGGCTGTTTCTCTCCCCGAAAACAACCTGCTCAAGTTATTCTCCACCCCTAGAGAGGTTTAATCATGCTAGATTTAAGAAAATAAGACAAATCTAGGTCTTTTTGCATATTTTCATAACTTACTATTTTATAGAATTTGTTAAGCCTTATATATTATATTCATAAATGTATAATCTCGCTCTATATATGATCTAGTGTATAATATCTATGTGCAATAATACATATGATGATATGTACACACACGTGAGTTAATTTAGCGCTCACACAAACACACTGTGTAATGGGAAAGGGAACATGGCTATTTTAAGCAGTAACAGTAGGACTTACAGACATGCTTCTGTTTTAGATTCACTGTTTTGTAATGCTTTGAGTTTAGGACCCCCGTTATAAATTAAGCTCACATTTAAATGTTAACCATGAGTATTATGGCATCTCAAAAACCTAAAGTCACCACCATGAGTTGTTGATTTTGCAAACCAGGCCAGAATCCCAAAATCAGTACAATGATGTCACTCTGCTGAAACCCCCTTCCTGTAGTGCTATACATTCACTTACCATGTGCTTGGATCTTTTATTTTGCATGGTTGTTGATTGGAAGACCTTTGATGCTAAGAGAACCGTCTCGCCCCCTTGTGGTCATTTTGCTCCTTCATTTGGTGAGTTTCTAATGGGTTAAAAGTGAGAGTTTGGTTTGCAGTGGGTGTCACTCTCTCTCACTGAAAGGGAGCTCCTGTGGTCGGTTGGGAGTGTGCTGTGCAGTCACAGTCATGGGTGGATGCTTACGGAGTTCAACAGGACATGAGCTGGAGACGTCTGTCATTGGGCTTCCTCCACAGCAGGGGGCAGCATGCCCTGTTCTTGTAAGTGGTTGCGCAGCGTATTGAAGATGCTGAGTTGCTGCTCTGGTTGCAGGACAAGCAACTGCTGTAAAACCTTACTGGGGTTCGGCCCCCTGGGGAAAAGAAAAAAAAAAAAACGTGTCAAACATGCTTCCTGTGTGCACACCTCTGGCATTACAGAAAGAGCTGATATTGAAATCAAAATGCTAAATAATAGTTCTTTTTGCAATGTATCAGAAGTGAAAACATATGTTTTTGAACTTAAACCTTTTATGCTTTTTTAAAAAATTATATATATGTGAGCTGCTCCAACATTTCCTCATGCCACAGTGCAAACAAACCCAACATTGGACACAATAAGAAATAGAATATAATAACAATACAATAAACTATCAAAAAATATGTTAATGGATAAATAGATAAATATATATACTTTGTGTGTGTGTGTGTGTGTGTGTAACCAATAAAAAAACATTTTTAGTGAATTGTTGGCCTTCTGGAAAGTATGTTCATTTACTGTACATGTACTCAATACTTGGTAGGGGCTCCTTTTGCTTTAATTACTGCCTCAATTCGGCGTGGCGTGGAGGTGATCAGTTTGTGGCACTGCTGAGGTGGTATGGAAGCCCAGGTTTCTTTGACAGTGGCCTTCAGCTCATCTGCATTTTTTTGGTCTCTTGTTTCTCATTTTCCTCTTGACAATACCCCATAGATTCTCTCTGGGGTTCAGGTCTGGTGAGTTTGCTGGTCAGTCAAGCACACCAACACCATGGTCATTTAACCAACTTTTGGTGCTTTTGGCAGTGTGGGCAGGTGCCAAATCCTGCTGGAAAATGAAATCAGCATCTTCAAAAAGCTGGTCAGCAGAAGGAAGCATGAAGTGCTCCAAAATTTCTTGGTAAACGGGTGCAGTGATGTTGGTTTTCAAAAAACACAATGGACCAACACCAGCAGATGACATTGCACCCCAAATCATCACAGACTGTGGAAACTTAACACTGGGCTTCAAGCAACTTGGGCTATGAGCTTCTCCACCCTTCCTCCAGACTCTAGGACCTTGGTTTCCAAATGAAATACAAAACTTGCTCTCATCTGAAAAGAGGACTTTGGACCACTGGGCAACAGTCCAGTTCTTCTTCTCCTTAGCCCAGGTAAGACGCCTCTGACGTTGTCTGTGGTTCAGGAGTGGCTTAACAAGAGGAATACGACAACTGTAGTCAAATTCCTTGACACGTCTGTGTGTGGTGGCTCTTTATGCCTTGACCCCAGCCTCAGTCCATTTCTTGTGAAGTTCACTCAAATTCTTGAATCGATTTTGCTTGACAATCCTCATAAGGCTGTGGTTCTCTCGGTTGGTTGTGCATCTTTTTCTTCCACACTTTTTTCTTCCACTCAACTTTCTGTTAACATGCTTGGATACAGCACTCTGTGAACAGCCAGCTTCTTTGGCAATGAATGTTTGTGGCTTACCCTCTTTGTGAAGGGTGTCAATGATTGTCTTTTGGACAACTGTCATTGTGTTGAATTGAAATTGAATTGTGTAGCCTAGTGAACCAAATTGAGAGACCATTTTGAAGGCTCAGGAAACCTTTGCAGGTGTTTTGAGTTGATTAGCTGATTGGCATGTCACCATATTCTAATTTGTTGAGATAGTGAATTGGTGGGTTTTTGTTAAATGTGAGCCAAAATCATCACAATTAAAAGAACCAAAGACTTAAACTACTTCAGTCTGTGTGCACTGAATTTATTTAATACACGAGTTTCACAATTTGATTTGAATTACTGAAATAAATGAACTTTTCCACGACATTCTAATTTATTGAGATGCACCTGTATGTATAAAAATAGAATAAAATAGACAAAAATCTCTCGCTCTCTCTCTATGAAATAAAAATAGAATAAAACAGAAAATATTTTATGTAAAATTATACAATATATATACCGAAGCTGTACAATGTACAAAAATAGTATAAATAAAATAAAAATATATCTAATAATTAGTGCTGTCAAACGATTAATCGCATCCAAGATAAAAGTTTTTGTTTACATAATAAATGTATGTGTACTGTGTTTATTTATTATGCAAGTATAAATACACACACATACAATATATATTTTTAAAATATTTACATGTATATACATTTATATTATTTGGTGCTGTGAAATGATTAATCGCGATTAATCGCATCCAAGATAAAAGTTTTTGTTTACATAATATGTGTATGTGTTGTGTGTATATATATATATATATATATATATAAATACACACACATGCATGTATATATTTAAGACAAATATGTTACGTTTATATATTAAATATATGATATAATTTATATGAATATAAATATATACATGTAAATATTTTCAAAATATATGCTGTATGTGTG